CGCTATTAGGTTGGAGGCCATCGCTATTAGGTTGGAGGATGTCGCTATTAGGTTGGAGGATGTTGGAGGCCATCGCTATCAGGTTGGAGGCCATCGCTACTAGGTTAGAGGACGTCGCGCTTTAGGTAGGAGGCCATCGCTATTAGGTTGGAGGCCATGGCTACTAGGTTGGAGGATGTCGCTACTAGGTTGGGCCATCGCTATGAGGGTGGAGGCCATCGCTTTTAGGTTGGAGGCCATCGCTATTAGGTTGGAGGCCATCGCTAGTAGGTTGGAGGCCATTGCTATTAAATAATTCGAGGCCATCGCTTCTAGGATGGATATTTTCATTTAGCCACTCAACAAGGATTCGTTTTGGGTGAGAGTCAAAGATGTTTCCAGCGAAGCAACGTTTCCCAGCACTCTGGACAAAGAAGACTAATTATAGACTAGCCATGCTTAGATCTCCATGGTGCTCGACCAACTGGACATAGCAAAGTGACATGGAATTTCTGCTGCGGCTATTGCCAGACGCACACATCAGTTTCCAGGAGAATCCCGCCCGGGAATTTATTTTTCAGCTGGTCATCCCCATGTTCTAGTGCCAGGGAGAATAATATCTTTTGAGCTTTGGATGAGCCACATGCGTCTCGCCACATTGGCTATATACGGCCTTTTGGGTGGGGAACCAGACCCAAGCCCACTCGTTGTTTGTCCAGGGCTACTTCAGACGCAGGGATTCATCAGGATTCCAACAAAGGATGACGGCCTCCGGGGATGGCGGAAACATGCGGAAACGCACAGCCAAACACCAAGACTCTCTCTTTTGGACATTTCCCTGGTCCCGGGGACCTCCGGGCTTCGCGCTGAGGCGCCTCGCATTGTGAACACGGCTTGTCCTGAGCTAACCTTTGCAGCGAAGCCCAGGGCGCTGGACACTGCGACTCACGACCGATGCGGTTATAGTAGCCGACAGGGAATTGGATCGAAAGACGCACGGTCTGAAATTCCATGAGATTCTGAATTCTGTTTGAAATCTCGAGCTGGAATCTTCCTTCGCCAAGCAGTGGAAAGACTTCTTCACCTGGGTTTCTATATACCATTCCTTATAACATCTTATAACTGCATGAGGTATGTCACAAGGAACTCGTGAAGCCTGCTTCAGAACTTGATGTGTTATCTTCCAAGGACCGATCTGATATCGGACGTAGGGAAGGGAAAGGAACACTTTTGCCCAACGAACGAAACTCTAGAAGTGAGATTGGATCGCGACGACGACACGGTGCAGGAGTGTAGAACACCACACCAACGGGCATGCTGACATGGCCATCGATCGAAATGCCCACCCCCACAGCACACAAGGTGCCCTGTACATCCCCCCACCCACCCACCCACACACACAGACACACACACACACATCCCCCACACAAGGTGCCCTCAAAGCTCCAACATCAGAAAGACTCAGAAAGTCATGATCCATAGATCGATCCCCATACCAATACAGTGAATAGAAGACCATTCGACCAAGACCCGTCTTCGTCGCTCTCCTCCGTTTCGTCCGTCTTCGGTCTCCGTTTGCGTCTTCTTGGACGACGAAGACCAGGTGCCCACGAAGGCTCTCATCAGCAAGCGATCCATTGGAATCATCGTCCAGGCGCCGATGTTCAGCGACGTGGCAGGGCAGGACGTGGCGCGTTTGGGGCAGGACGCCGGGGGGGCCAAAAGCTTGCTTTTTGAGTGAAGAGAGTCGAGAGCCCATTTACATCCTTTGCCCAATGCGGAACACACAACAATGTGATGTTATTTTTTGACGTCGTATACGTTCCCATGTTTGGGGTACAGTAAGTCTGCCTTTGGTGCAGGCCCATTCAATCCCAGCAAGCGTTTGTATAACGGTCATGGTCGTGGTTTGAGGGAGTTTGAGGGTTTGATCTTCGACTCCTGCCGCAACCGATTTTCCTTAAACGAAGCATCCCCGCAGGTGGGCAACGAGGGTGGTCTCATCGAATGCCCAGAGCTGGAAGCAGCCTTCGGCTGCCCTGTGCTGGTTGGCAGGCACGGCCGAGTCGGGATGAGCTGGGGGATGACCTGTCGAGAGGGACTGGGCCACCATGGAGATCGCTGCACGGTGGACTCGCTGCATGCATCATGTCATCATGCTGGAACTGCTGACAAATTCTTGGGGTGTTCGAGCCCTCTCAGCAACAAAGCGACAGGAGAATTACCCTGTTTGAAAGACACTGCTATGATGGTGAAGCACACATATATTTTTTCACACAACATGAATGATTATACTCGTCATCCTAATCCTTGCTTTCATGTTCCTTTGTGGAGGTTCATGTTGGTTCAACAAACTGTGTGAACATGTGTGAACCGCGTTCACCTCCAAAAAATTGGTCCCCATGATCTCTTCTTCACCACATTCACCTCATCCTTTCTTTGTTCGCCTTGTCGGCCCTTCAACGACCGTTGCAAAGAAAACCAAACGCCGCGGTGATCTTCTCGCAGCCATCGGTGGTCATCGGTGCCATCGGCTTGATGTCTACCTGTCTCACCCGTCTCGCTGGGACCATGCTGTTTCAACGACCGGTCGTCGCTCGGACCACGTCCACGTCGTCCACGTCGTCCACGTCTCGCGACCGTGACACGACGTGGACGTGACCGTCGCGAGTTCCGTGCGTCTCGTGGCACGTCGAGGCATCAATTGGGACCCTACAGTGTGGGGCAAGAGGCCACGTCAGAGTGACGGTCACGTGGGTTGGCAGTGGCTTGGTATGGGCTTTTTGAGTATGGGTCTGTCAGGCAAGGACATGCAAGGACCAAGAAGTTCTGAAGTCAGAATTGTGGAAGGAACACGTTCGACGTGTCTTCGCATGTTCGGCCGGTATTCACTGAAGCAACCGACAGTTGGGTCGACCAGTGGAGAGGTGCCTGATTCAGACGGGAAAGATGTCTTGGCCATGACATCCGGATGGCCTCCACCCTAGTAGCGGTGGCCTCCACCCTAGTAGCGATGGCCTCCAACCCTATAATTAGATAT